CACTGTGTGGAAGTCAGAGGACAACTTACGGGAGTCAGTCCAGTTTTCGCTTTCTACCTTGTGGTGCCAAGGATCAACACAGGTCATCAGGGCCTGGTGTGTGGTGGGCCACCACAACCTGAAATTTTTCTTCTTAAACTCAGACAAGCACCTTTACCCTCGGAGCCATCTTGCCAACCTTTTCTCTCTTGTTGGTTGTTTTTGGGGATGGGGGACTTGAGACTGGGTCATGTAGCCTAGGTTGGCTTTAAAATCAACATGTAACTGAGGCTGACTTTGAACTCCCAATCCTCCTGCCTCTACCTCTCAAAGGCTGGGGCTGAGGCATAAGCCCCCACATCAGGCTTCTTGTTAACGTGTGCTTTCACGTGTATCCGGAAGTTGGTGGGCAGCCTAGGGGTTCATGTTACTTTCTTCCTTGTTTGAGACAGATTCATGTCCTGGTGGCTGCACACGCCAGGCTACCTGGCTCACAAGTGTCTGGGGATTCTTCTTCCTTTCTCACCTTCTGCCTCATTGCAAGAGTGCTGGCATTGCAACCCACACAATCCAAGCCCAAGTCCTCATGCTTATGTGGGCAGTGACTACCCCTGTACTATTCCCATCAATCTATTCCTCTATCTCACCCACCCATCCATCCACCCATTCATCCATCTGTCCACCCATTCATCCATCTGTCCACCCATTCATCCATCTATCCACCCATCCATTCATCTCATCCATCCCATCCATCCATCCATCCATCCCATCCATCCATCCATCCATCCATCCATTCCATCCATCCATCCCATCCATCCATCCATCCATCCATCCATCCGTCCACCCATCCATCCATCTATCCATCCGTCCATCCGTCCACCCATTCATCCATCTATCCGTCCATCCATTCATCTTATCCATCCCATCCATCCATCCACCCATCCGTCCACCCATTCATCCATCTATCCATCCGTCCACCCATCCATTCATCTCATCCATCCATCCATCCACCCACCCACCCACCCACCCATCCATCCATCCATCCATCCCCAGTTTTTCTTGTCGGTTTTGTTTACCACAAAGGACAGGTCTAACAATTTCACTCTTAGTTTTGAATCTCTTACCCATCTGATGTTTTACCAAAAGACCCCTGAGATCTCAATCTGAGAAAATGAAAAGGGTTTCCTGGGTTTCCCTTCGTGCTACCAAACATGGAGAATGGCTTCCCAGGGGCTTCTGATGGGCTCTGCCCGCTGCTCGGCAGGCTCCAGTACTGCACACCCCTTTTGTCCTTGACCCAGTGGCTTCCCTGTCAGTTGGTGGTGCTGTCATCTACCTCACTGAGCTTGAGCCCACCGAAGATGGCCCCTCCCCCATGTTCCTAGCGCTTGCTTCCTCTTTGCTTCCTTCTTGGAAGTACTTTTTCGTTTCCAAGGTTGACCCTTCAGCCTGTGCTCCTCGACGCCCCCCTTCCTTACATTTCCAGTGCTGCTCTCATTTCATGAACCTTCCCTTTGCTTAACAAACACATTCAGTGTTATTTCTTGAAGACAAATATAAAACTCCCTCCCTGGAATCTTTCTCCCCCTCCCTTGCCCTCTCTGTGTGATGTTTCAGAATACTAGACCTTTTGACTAACAGGACCAGTAAGATTTTCCCCATCATGGAGATTTGTGGGTGGAGACGATTGTCTTGTCTTCACCATTCTCTGTGCCCACCACCTCTCACCTCACCTCCCACTCATTCTTCAACGTGAAAAGAAACTCTCCCGTCTAATACAATGAAATTGACTCTCAAAATCTGTAATTGTCTAGTTTGTGAACCTACAAGATCCTTTCAAGTCTCATCTAACAGATCTTGTACGTGGGTGCCGAGGACCAAACTCAGGCTTCTTGTTGCAAGGCGAGCACTTACGGGCTGAAACATCTCCTCACCCCATCCCTCCCCACTTGAATGTCCACAGTTTCTGGATTTAAGTAGAAGGACAGCAGTTAGGGGAGTTTGATCTTCATTTCACTGCCTTTGAGCTGCATGGCTATGCTATGGGGGGGGGGGGATCCACAGCTACGATCTGGTGATGATGACAATGTAGGGGTTACAGGGTGTGACCTCTTTCCTTATCCCTCAAAGCCCTAACTGGGTGTCCGTTTTTTAGGTTTAGATTTGACAACACACGAGGAACAGCAGAGTAGAGGTGTTACTGGACAGAGGTTAGCACCCAATAGATACAGAGGCAGGAGGCAGGGAACTCAGCTAGGCCCATCCTTTGTCAGGACCTATCTAAACAACATTCCTTCCTCCCAAGACCTCCGCAGAGGGGTTTATGACCTACCGTCAGACAACATGGCTCGAAGAATTCACTTATGGGTAGTTTTTACACGGAAAATTGGAGGGTCAGAGAACTTTAAGTTTTATGGCTGGTCTTAGCTTCGATGACCCAAATAGGCAAGAGTTCTAGTTTGAGTGGCTCTGGGAGAGGTGGAAGGGTGGCAGAGATCTGTCTCTGAGTCCCTTCAGTAAAAAGCACTCAGCAGGTCACTGTGCCCTATCCTGAGAGATTTGGAGACCCACAGGATTACAGTGACTGGGAAAAGCTAACCCAGGGGAGATTCAGCCTGGCCCTGCAGTGCCTTCTCACTCTCAAACTTCACAGCTGCCCCAGGGTCACTGTCACAGTACAAATCAATTCCCTGACCCCAGTCTTCTCCTCACATGCCCCCTCAGATCTGCGATGCTTTACTTCCAGATGCTCCGCTCACACCTGCTCACACCATTTTCTGACTTCTCAGCCTCTGTGGTCCAGGCTCTTTGGTCAGCCCTACCACAGCACATGCAGGCATTTCCACAGTTCCTGTCCTCTGGGGAGCCTCCTGACTGTGTCCCATGAGCCCTACTGTGAAGACCTTTAGACACTGGAGTAGGGGCATGTCCCCAGAAACAGGGTTTGCATGGTACTCAGCTGAACCGTGCCAAACAGAAGCCCAGACCCCTGTCCTGATTTAACTGAAACACCCCCACCTGAATCCCCAGGCTGACATTCAATCTCTAGCTTCTTTCCAAGCCTCTCTTCTCAAATTGAATCCCGAAGTACCCCACCCCAGAGATCCAACTCCTGGGCCCGGCCTGACAGAAGGGACACACTTCCACAGCAACTGCTGTTCACAGTAGGCACTGAGTCAACTCTTGGGGATCCCTGAGTTTCCTCCCCACCCCCACCATGGTGGACAGGATGCCTGCTGCCTGGTACCAGGGGGTCAGAGGAAGCCGGGGCCTCTGGGACTCAGTATTTTTATCAGCCTAGGAAATGAGAGATGCAGAAGCGGAAACCATGTGGTCAGAGAAAGTGAGCAGCCTTCATCTCAGGGGAACCCCCACCAGGGCTGGGGGCCAGACACTGGGGGGGCACAGAGAGGGAGGTCTGCTGGGGGGGTGAAGCAGGTATCAGCGTATTTTGGTTTCATGTCATTTGTGTAGAGGAGGAAACCAAGTGCTCTCAGTCCACACCCCAGCACCGCTGTTCCTCTCAACCCCAGCTCAAGGGTCCAGACTCCAACATGGGCTCTTTGCATGCCACTTCCGAAATCCCTGGCCTGTGAGAGGAACCGGATGCCGGGGCTGCTCACGGTTCCTTTCCAAGACTTCTCCGAATCACAGCAGCTTCCTCTCACAGAGTTCGCCCTCCCACCGCTCAACATCTGCCGGGTATTGGGGCGAGGGGGCTTGGGCCTCTTCCCAACCTCCCTGATGTCTCCCCAGGTCCCGGGTCTCAGGCTCACCAAATGTCCCAGCAGCTTCTTCCTGTGCAATGCTGGGACCCCCTCGAGTAGGCCTGGGCTGTAGCCCTGACAATTCCCTGTCAGATCACACACAACCACACACAGTACACACCTGCACAACACTTTTTCTGTCTTGCCTCTACTTAAAAAAAAAAAAAAAAAAAAAAAAAAAAAAAAAAACCCAAAGACCTGAGTTCCCAGCTGTGTCTTAGGTGTTGGTAGTGGGATCTGCCCACAGTTCCTCCATTTCCAGAGAGAGCTGCTGAATTTGAACAATGGCATGGATGGATTTCCCCTATCTCATCTTCAATGTCTCAGGCCCTTTCTCTCCCACCCCTAGGACCTCAGCTAGGGTTCTTGGGAAGGAGACGTTTATGTGGAAGGCCAAGCCTGAGTTGTCCAGAGCTGAAGCCCAGGTTTAGTTAGGGTCGGAGAGGCGAACAGTAGATGCCAGGATTGGAGTCCCAGAGAGATGACTGAGAGGCAGGATCCCTGGACAGGCTCGGGTGTGGATCTCTAGTTGCCCAAGAACAGACAACCCGGTTACATAATCTGGCTATTTCCAGCCTCCTTCCTGCTTCTAATTTTAGCAAATGAAATTCCCTCCCCCACAATCTCTTCCTCCATCCCCTTTCTAGTCTTCATCCTCTTGGGTCCTTATGGTCCCCAGCCCTGGTGGCCCCCGCCTCAGCTCTTTCAGTGACTCAGCACAGGGAAAGCCCTGGGTTGGGTAGGGGTGCCAGCAGGCAGGAGGAGGGTTGGGGTGCCATGGGGAGGATGTGGTTCTGCTTGGGGAGCACGGGGGAGGAAAGCGGTCTGTTTCCTTTTTTGACACTTGTTCACTTCTTCAGCTGTAGACTGCAAAGTGGTGAGGACCCCAGGGGAGGGAGCAGAGGGGGCGTGGGGGACAAACTGGGCCTTCTAAGGGCTGGCCTCGAGGGAGGACAGGCAGGGGGGCTTCTGGCCTGTGTTGAGAGCGCACACTGTCCGACTCTGTGCAGCAGGTGTGTGGGAGCTGCGGGTTTCGACAGTTGGGCGGGAAAGGAGATGTCACGGGTGATGAAAACCATAGCGATGGAAAAAGCAGAAGACTCTGGAGTGGATCTTATTAGGAAATGGCGGTGGAGAACAGTGGTGGAGCCTCCCCCACCCCACCCCAC